CTCACCCTGGGGCTGGAGGGCTGCCTGGGCTGTGGCTCTCTTCCTGGGCGTCAGGGCTGGCTGGATGGGCAGAATGCCAGCGTTGGGCTGGGGCTGGCCTGCTTTAGGTCTCTGCCGGGGCGCTATGGACGTTTCTGTCGTGGGGATGGGGTCTGTGAGCCTGCACAGGGAGGAGCAGAGGGAAGGGCAGTGAGCACAGAGACACAGAACACACAGCAGGGGCGAACACTCACCCACACCTCAGCTGGGTGGGAGTGACAAAGGTGAAACACTCGTGGGCACCCAGGCACAGCGAAAGCTCCTGCCTGCATTCACCACAATTAATCCAACACTGTCCTTCTGACTTCTCTGCCACTCGTGGCATCCTCTGCTGGTGGACAGCTGGGACTTGTCAAAACCACTCAGCTTATATCCAACTATTTCCTACAACATACTGCTTGAAACCACCCAGACTTCTGAATGAGCACACGAAGGACACAGATCAGCTCATGAGCAGCTGGTACCTTTGGGCAGAGCTGTCTGAACTGCCATCTTTGGCTGCACTTTAACTTTGGTACATCCAGCCCAGAACCACTGAACTCTCCTGATCTCTGCTCAGGGTTCACTGAGCTCCAAAAATGCACAGCAAGAGAGAGGAGCAGCCATGCCCCCAGCCCTCTGTGGTCTGGAAATACCAAATTGATAACCAATGAACCTGATATCAGATTGTTTCTGAGTCAGGGAGAGTAACTGGGCAACTGAAGTCCCCAAGGAAGCTGAATCCACCTTTGCTAATAAACAGCAGGGACAACAGGCAATAAAAGAGGGAGTGAAGAGCAGGTGGGGTTACCTGGCCTTTGGTTGACTCTTCTTTGCAGCAGCTTCACTTGCTTTAACTGGGTCTGGGAGTTTAGCAGGGATTGGAGAGTTCTGCAGAACCCAAAAATGCCCAATTTGGCATTTTGAGGGCAGAAAACAGAGTCAGAAATAATGTGCAAAAACACCACAATAAAACAGAGAGAACTGGGGATTCCCAAAGCAATTACTCCTCATGTGGACACACAACAAACAACACCACAAAGGGTTCATGTCATGGGGAGACAGGAGTTTGGGGGAGTCTTTGTAAGGGAACAAAAGAGGGCTCAGCTTTTTGACCACTGAACATGGAATATGAACAGAAAGCTCCACAGCACAAATTTTTAAAAGACATGTCATTTTTAAGACATTTCTAAAAGACTGTCAGACAACAGCAGTGACAAAATTTATTAATGATGCTATAAAACCACAGGCATAATAGAACCCAAACTACCTCTTATTCATAAAGACCATAAATAAGCACCTGAGCATAGGGGAAAAACCCTAATTTCTATTCATGAAAAAACAACAAAATAAAATGTCTGTCACAGTGTCCATAACAGTGTAAGAAAATAATTATCCACTCCACTTTCCAGCTGAAGTCTCTGAAGACACACCAAGAAGGGCAATGGAGTTCCAATGCCAAGTCCCAGAACTGCTGCTCAAACCCAAGTGCAGGCCAAATTACACAGGCTATGATGAGAGTGCCTGGAAATCAAATTGCTTTCCCAAGCATGGCCTAATTTTCCATGTTCACATGCACAAGATCTCTTGGTTGGCCTCACACTGTGACTGGGTGAGGAGGTAAATCAGGGACAAACAGAATGAGAAACCCTGATTTCTGACCCAAAGAATCCAACCCACACCGTGCTGTTACACACAGGACCCTCCTGATGACAGGACAGAGGCAAATGCTCAGTGTCCATCAGCTGCCCACCTGGACATTCTGCACTGGGCACTCCTTCTTGGCCAGCTTGAATGCAAAGTAGGAGACCTGATAAATGTCAGGTCTCTTGTCAGGGTCTGGCTCGAGCATGTACCCTGGAGGAGATGGAGAAGCAGAGATCAGAGCAGCAGCACACACACAGGAACTGATACACCACAGGAATCTTCTGTGCTCAGGGTGGGCAGCCCTGGCAGAGGTGCCCAGGGCAGCCCTGGCAGTGCCCAAGGCCAGGCTGGAATAACCTGGGACAGTGGCAGGTGTCCCTGCCATGACACTGGGTGGGCTTTGAGCTCCCTCCAACCCACCCAACTCCACATTTGGTACAACCAGGAGCTAACAGAGTCCTGCCTCCTTCAGAACAGGGCAGCACACCCAGCACGGACCAGGACACATCTCCCCCCAGAGCTGGGACCCCCAAAGCTCTGGGGCAGGCACAGGAAATGCTGCCTGCCCAGGGACCAGGAACAGCTCTGGGTGGGACTGGGCACTTCCAGGTGAAGCACAGGAAAAGGGATGACCCTGGAGTGCCAGCAGGGCAGGGAGACACGGCAGCCACTGCAGGCAGCCCACAGCAGCAAGGAAAATACCAGCCTGCTCTGCAAACACATCCAGCTCTGTGTGAGTCAAGGCTGTGGCTAGGGAAAGGGAAAAAATCAAAAGCTGTGCTGCAAACAAGAGAGCTGCCCCAGCTTTGCCAAGAGTAGTGCATTGTACACTTAATTACACATTCACTCCAGTCAGTGGGATATTTATAAATCATTTCAGTTCTGTTTCCCAGTTCACAGGAGATGAATTCTTATCACTAGCCTAAGCCACTGTGGTCTTTTCAGTTCCTTATCCAAACAGATTTATTACAGCAGCAATTCGTTTCTGCATAAATGGGCTGATTGTGCAGGGCTCACAGCAAACAGCTGTGTGTGCTCCTGCCCTTCCAGTGGCTCCCTCCAGCCTGGCCAGACTGAAATCTGTGTCATGATCAGTCCAAGAGTGATCTCCTAAACCAGTCCAAGGTCCCTTTGACCCCGCAGTGTGCGGGGCAGCCCCGCCAAGGACAGAGCTCCTGGCTGGGCAGAGCCCTGGGGCACTCACGGATGAGGCAGTGCATGTCCTGCGAGTGCCTCGAGTTGTCTGGGATGGTGAAGGTGCCGTCACAAATGGCCACCTGGCTCTCCCCAAAGGGCAGGGTGAAGTAGCACAGCTTGTACAGCAAGCAGCCCAGGGCCTGCAGAGAGAGAACAGGGCAGGGATCACACGTCATGTTCATCACCACACGGCCCTGAGTGCCACCCAACAGGCAAAGCCTTTCTGCCACACTCTGGGAGGAAAGAGCAAAGCAACAGCACAAATAAATGGCAACCATCATCATTAATGCACCCATTGTGACAAAGAGAAACCCAAACTGCTTCCAAGATTAAGTCCAAACAACCTTTCAGCTGCTATAAATAAATGCCAGGGAAGTACAGCTCATTCTGCAGGCTGCCAGGTTCTGCCACCCTTCCCTCCACTGCCACGCTGCTTTTGGCACCAAGAGCCACCACCCATTGCAAAAGCAAACCGTTTTTGCACAAAGGGCTAATTATGAAACACTCCCCCACCTCAGAGCGGGGAGCAGGAAACATTTCCTAATCCTGAGAAACTCCTCATCAGCTCATCTCTCTTGTCACAGGATTTCACAATGAAATTGCAGCTGGCTTAAACAACCTGGACAGGATTTCAGGGGAAGGGAGGCTCCCAGCAGGACAAGCACTGGAACAGGCCTGGAAGCTGAGGCCCCACCACCAAACACTGCTCTGGACACGCTCCAAGTGCCACTGGAACCCAGCTCCTGCCATGCCAGGAACAGCAGAGCCTTTGGATCTCCCCTTTCCACCCTGCCCCAGGAGGGAGTGCAGATCCTGTCCTTTCCCCTGGCACACAGTGACCCTGCCCAGGGCTCTCACACACCCCTGGCTCCAGCTGCTCCCACCACAGGAGCTGCTCACTGAGGGGAATTCAGCAATTCTCCCTCTTGTAGATGCAGAACTACTGAACACAGATCAAAACTCTGTTTTTCTGCTTCTACCATGTTACCTCCTAGCTCAGGGCTCCAAAAAACACAAAAATGCTAATAGTTGGTACTTTAAACACCTTTAAACACGTGCTGAACTGCCACTGCAAACAGCACAGACTGTGTCCCACCAAAGGAGAGCAGGTGAGCCAGGAATGGACCCCACCACAGCTGGATCCTGTTCCCACCATGAAGAAGGAGCATGGCAGGATTGCCCTGATCACCAGCAGTGCAGAGCTGGGCCTCTGGCCAGTCTGGCACCTCAGCCCTGAGTTACACAGATCAGCAACTGCTGCTGCTGCTGGGGCAGGGCCATTTTCTCAGGTTCCCACTCAATTCTGAGCAGAACTTTGATTCCACACACCAACAACCTGGTGCCACAACACCAGGCATTGTGAATCTGTGAATTGTGGCAATCTGAATTGTCTGATTTATGATACAAAATCAGGTTTGCCCTATTGAGCCCTGGAGTTTGATCCATCTCTAAATTCAAAGCACACAGGAGGAGCACACCCATCTGCTGCATGCAGCAGGAGTTCATCACACATCACCAGAGGAATTCTGCATTCAGGAACTGCCCAGAAAAGCAGGCCAGCCCTGTTTCTCTGCCCTGGCAGTGCAAGGATGCCCAGGGCTTCCATACTCACCCAAATGTCTGCTTTTGTAGTGATGAGTTTGCCACTGTACAGGTTCACCATCTCTGGGGCTCTGTAGGACAACGTCGTGTACCTGCAGGGGAAGGTGGGCCGGGGGGTCAAAGGGGATAGCAGGTTTGTCACATTCCCAAACAACCCAAAATTCACTTTTCCCTTATTCATTACAAAGAAAGGGATGCTAAAGATTATCTATTGGAAAAATGTTCTAAGAGCATCACCTGCTACACACCTCAAACAGTGAAACACCCCTCACAGTGCCCTGGGCAGCCAGAACAGCAACCACAGTCCTCTCCAAAGCACAGAATTAAATAACAACCACAGTCCTCTCTAAAGCACAGAATTAAATAACAACCACAGTCCTCTCTAAAGCACAGAATTAAATAACAACCACAGTCCTCTCTAAAGCACAGAATTCACCACAAAATGTGCAGTCATTTCAAGAACAGAACCATTCAAGGATTCAAAGCATTAGCAAGGCCAGTAACCAAATGTCCTCTGCAATGCCCTCACTGCAGGGCTGTGCCCAGCTGTATCACAGAGATTGTAACTGGATATGTGGCTCCCAAAAATGAGATTTCCAACCAGGAGTCCTGCTCAGAGCCGCTGTGGAAGGGATGGGTCACTGTGCCTCAAACCACAGTGAGAGTCTGCCTCATTTTAAGAGATCACAGCAAACAGAGAAGCTGCAAACTGCTCCAGAGATGATGAGGCTCCTCTCTCTGATGAGATTTCCTGCCAGCAGGTCTGTCATTGCTCCTGCTGCTCACCTGAGCACAGGAAAGCATTGCCAAAGGCAAAGGTTTTGTAGGCTTAGGTGTACAAGTAGGGCACTCCAGGGGACTGCAATGCTGGATTAGGAGCACTCTCAGAACTCCACTCAAACAAACCCAGGAGATCCAGGAGGTGTAGCTGAATCCCAGCAAAGAAGAGACATCTGTACCCATTTTTAACTGCATCAGCAGCAGGGATGTTAGAACTACAGCAAGGCCAAGGAGCTGCAGTGTGCTCACCCCTGGCCAGGGCTCCTGAGCTGCAGGTGAGCCCCTTTCACAAAGGGGCACCAGAGATGCTGCCAGGCCAGCTGGCAGGGCTGGGGCAGGAGGAGGAGCTGGGCTGAGCCCCTGCAGGAGCTGGCACTGCCCACATGAGCCCAGATGAGCCCAGATCCGTGGGGAGGGCAGCTGAGGCAGGAGGGACTGTGCCAGCCCAGCCTGGGGCTCAGGGAAGCCAAGGAGATGAAGGACAGACAGCCTGGCCCTGCCCAGGCCAGAGCAGGTCACTGCTCTGCATTAATCTCAGCTCCAAAGCAATCACATTTATTGTTTCACCTTCCCCCGGGCACTCACTCACCTGCAGCAGACACTGCCATGCAGCACAGCCAATCTGCTGCACCAGGCTGAGCAAAACCAGCCCAGCACGAGGGAAATCACCCTGAAAACACAAATACCGGGCTGGACAGGCACAGCACACTTACTTCTTGATCTCCTCCTCCACTGCGTTCACCCCCTCTGTCTGAGGGTTCTGGAATTTGTTGGTAGCACTCCCAAAGTCACACAGGACATAGTGGCCACGGTCATGCAGCAGGATGTTTTCAACCTGGAGCATCACAGACAGACACAGAATCACTCAGACAAAAGAATATTCAGGGTTTGGCTTTTTTTTTTCAGATGAGTCAAGGTTTTAAGTGCCTGAAGACATATCAGACATCTCTGACACTGAAGTCTAAAAGTGACAGCAAAGAAAACAGGCATCAAAACTGTCACATCTCCTAAAATAGACATCAAATCATGGAGGCACAGCTGTAACACTGCCTTCCATGCTGCCACCCCTCCCTTCTCCTCCTGCAAACCCATCTCCCTGCCTCTGTAAGGCTTCAGTGTCCCTGTGCCTCTGGAGCTGAAGGTTCCTGAGCTACTGTGGCCCTGGTCTGGCACCTGAACTGGGGACAGGAAATCCAAACTGCCCCAGATTTACAAAGGCTCTAACTCCTCACAGTCCATGGGGCAGGCAAACAACACACACTTCCATATTCATGAAATTAAACACATCTCCAGGTCTTTGCCTGCACCTCACCTGTCCCTGAGGGTCCCATTCAAAACAAACCTCAGCTCATGCTCACATTTATTTGCTTGTTCTCAGAGTCTGCTGGGTGCCCACAGCCCCTGAACAGGGGCTGAGACCCCTTTCTTTCAAACATTATTTGGTACCTTCAATCAGGCAACAGAGACCAAAAAAATCAGCAGAAACCTCCTGTGCATTAACAAAACTCCACCTTGCACCCACCTAAGGAAACTGCCTGTTCCAACACTGACTGTAAATGTGTGAAACCCTGTGCTCAGATCTTGGCTTTGGCAGAGCATCCCTGTGTTCCAGCTCCTCATCTGTGCAGCAGCACTAACAGCATGTTCTCTGGAGGAAACACACCATTTTTCATGTCTTTATCTTCAATCAGTGTCAAATGCTCAGATACAACAACGAGATAAAACATGCTGCTCATAGAGCTCAAAATAAATAAAAAATCACCACATAAGCGTTTGCTAACAAAACCCTTTGGAAGCAGAGCTCCCCATCAAGGATGGTCTTTACAAGAAGGAAAGAAAAAGAAGGAGTCAGCGTTTCAAGCATCAGAAAATGCAGCCAAATTAGAGCAGCTGGGGGGAGAAGGCTGGCTTGAACCCAAGGGTTAAACACACCCCTTCCCCCTGTGCCATCCATCTGCTCTGAATGAAGCCTGCACACAGATGTTCTCCCCAGCACAGCAACACTGGCCCTGTTATTCCCTGTTATTCCCTGCAAGCACTCCTCCAACACTCCCCCTGTATCTGCCTGAGCAGGCTGATTCCTCACTCAGGTTTGTCACACATCAGCACGGGACCATCCAGCAACCAGGTGTGAGCAGCAAACGCCAGGAGAAGGAAAAAAAAAATAAACAGAGCAAAAGGAATCACTGCTGCCACTGCCAGGCCAGAGAAAAGTGGCTTTGAAAGGAGTATGAAGGTGTCGTGTTCTGCTGAAACACTCAGGAAGCTGCAGCCCTGAGCGCACCCAGGGGTGACACAGCATCCTCACTGCCAGTGCCATGTCCCCTCTGCCCACAGAAATGCTGGGTGAAGGTTGCTGTCCCCAGCTGTTGGTCACCTCCACCAGCTGGGGACGGTGCCAACAGGAGGCTGCTCTGCTCTGGGTTAATTCACAATCAGAGCCGGGGGCAGTGAAACTGCTCCAGCTGCACTTGTGTGAATGGCTGGGAGCTCATTCACAGCCTCCCTGCTGCTGGCAGCAACCTCCAGCTGCAGGGCAGCATCAAAGAGCTGGAAGGCAAAGAAGGGCTCCAGGGCCCAGCTGCCTGCAACCAACATCTGCCCCTCTTCAGCAGGGTGACACTCACCCCAAGAAAACATCTACGTGTCCCTCCTACACCCACAACTTCTCTGGCCCTTCATCTCTCCCGGCTTTGCAACTGCCCCTTGACAGTGTTCCATTTTAACACAAATAAAGTCAAAATATATATAAATATTAATTCTGTGTTAGTGCTTAGATCCCCAGAGGTCACCATGACACAAACAATACACTGCTCAAGCAGAAAACACGTCTCCAAGCAGAGAAGAGCCAGCCCTGACTCTGGGCACAGCTTACCCAGATCAGGCCCTGCAAAACCTGGTGGGCTGGACACCAAGAGCCCATTGCAGCTGCAACTCAGGCAAAAGTACCACAGATCAACTCACTAATGCAGCACAGATGTCCCAGATTTACTCCCCTATAACACACTGAGGTTGTTCTCCATTAACCCCCAGGGGCTCACCAGAAAGGTAAGGGCAGGGTTAATGTCAGCTGGGGAGGCTCCTGGTCCTCACCCTGCTTTCCTGACCTACACAAACTTTACAGCCTTAAATCCAGGACTGATGGCAAGAAATCACCCCTGGGAACAGACACAGAGCTGCTCCTGTACCCAAAGTGACTCAGAGTGGCATCACTGTCATTTCAGACATGCCACAGACACCAAACCCCGGGGATGTTTTCCCCTGCTCTACCTGGCTCTCCTTGCTACACATGGCATGAAAAACAATGGCCAGTGGCACAAACAAACATCTGTGAGGGCTCTGAAAATAGAACCTGCCCCCCAGAGCACATCTGAATTTCAAATGCACACAGCAGCCTCCTTCCTGGCTGAGAGTTTCATCCCAGCTCCCTGAGAGCAAAGGGAACGTCCTTCTGTTTGTGGGTTACAGGTGGGGGATTTTCCCCAAGCTGGCCCAGCTCTGCTCCCAGCTAAGCACACAGAGCTTTACAACACACTTTCATGGTCAGAGCTCCAGAGGCCACTTTCAAAAGCTCCTAAGGATTCCTGCCCCAAGGCCAACATTTCTGAAGGCTCCTTTTAATCTGGAAACAATTCTGTGAGCTACCTTAAATAAAGCAGCGTTTCAGGCCACCGTGAATAATTCATCAGGTACATCCTGGCACGTGTGCAAGCCACAATTATTCACAACCATTTGTGTTTAAGCAGATCTATAGAAGGCAAACATATGGTAGGCAGCAGCGAGAGGCTCATTTCTGTTTTTATCTCCC